GAAGTGTGCATTTCAGCCTGTGTTTGTGTGTATAAAAAAAAGTGTGAAAAAAACAATTTCCCCCAGGGGATCAATAAAGTATATCTTCTTCTTCTTGTTCTTCTTAAAATAGGCCTACTTTTGCTGAACAGGAAGCATACTTCATTTATTGTCCCTGTATTTTCTCATAAGGACGTGGAAATGTCGTTCTTCTGTAAAAAAAATAATAAATAAATAAATAGAGAAATAAATTAAATGAAATGCTTGAGATATGTACCTGAATGCAGAACAGTAGGATAAGGTGGTTGATATTCCTCTAGATAGTATTAGGAATACATACCTCTGACCTTATGCAAGTAGTCTAACATTGCATTATATTTCCATCTTCTTCGTTTGTTCCATTATAGAAAAAAAAGTGATACATCTCTCTGTTACCTAGTAAAATTGACAACCAGTATACATATGTAAATGTGCTTAAATAGATTTGCTCGTTTTTCGCACATTTTGAACAAAAATTGTACGTTTTTAGACTAGATCAGGTCACCATGTCATCAGGAAAGCAATTTTTTTTAGCCTCTACTGAAGTTTATATTTTAATTTCAGCCATCCCATGGAGCTTATCCACTTACAGCAAAAGACTATACAGTAATAACCAGTCATTTGTACTGTTAAGTACCTATTACATTTTAGGAACACTAAATACATCATTTATTGGAATTGCCCAAAGGCAGTAGTGCAATTTGTTGTACGTCCACATGAGTAATTGGATGGAAGTCTGTACAGAAATGGGTGTACGTGTCTTGTTTAAAAAATTATGAGGCATGATTTCTTTCCCATCATGACACCATTTTCCATTTTATATCCATGTTCTGTAGGTATGTTCAAGTCTATGTGATAATGGCAATTTGTAACAATAACAATAAATACAATACACAATACCTTGGAATTTAATGGTTTATTGTTATATTCTGTCAAGCCTGAAATTATTGCTACTATCCAACAACAAGCATCACAATCAAGAAGAAAATGTGACCTAAAATATAAATCCAGTCGATCCAGTTCATGTGGTGTTCTGATGTGTTGAAATGAGATGAAGTGAAGGAATGAATGAAGGTTCCTGCCCAGGATTTTCCTCTTATATCTCATAGTAAAACCATTTTTCGACTGAAATAAAAAGAAGAAAATTAAGCATATGAGATTTCCTTGGAGTAACAACATAGAGTAGCTGAAAGAATACAAATAAATGAACAAAGACGCACCTGAACTTGGAATGGGATCTTCATCTCCAAAAGCACTTGCCTGTAAGAGTTAAAGAAATCATGTTAAAACCAACACCCTAGTTGCAGAAAGAAACACTACTTAAGGTCCTCTCCTTTTGTCCGAGGGTGTGTGTGTGACCAGGTTACACAGAACGCTGTTATCTTTATCATCTCTAATCTAGTCTCTAGTATCATTAAGGAAGGGATGGTCAATTTCAAAATAAAACAGACTTACAGACTTAACCACAGCCTCTGCATCCCCAGCAGAGCAGCAGAATGGACTATCCGAGACACTGGTATTCATGCTGATTCAAGAAAGAGAGAAACACTTTCAGCTTTAAAACAATTGTCTGTCCTATAAGCACCTCTTAACCAGAAAACTGTTTGGTGACCTAGAAAGGCACCATTTTATCCGCAGTAAGAAGGTATTTAACAGTCCATTAACTTGCAGTTGATTTACACTGTCCTGTCAGCGCGCTGTCAACTTTCAGTACTCGCTTGATAATTCTCTCAAGGATGTCATGAAAGGAAATATCACTATTAGCATTTGTCACATATACTGTTACATAATGTTTGCATAATGGAGCACAAGTTGAACTACTCACCAATTTAAGTCGCCAGCATTGGTCTTCTTGGAAATCAGTGCCTTCCAAAACTCATGAGTGCTCTTGACTGTTTCAATGGCAAAGTCCTGGAAAAACAATTTTTTTAATTATAATAACCAAAGACCTTACTCTCCTTATTCCAAGAAATCAGGATATAATAGCTTTGAGAGCCTATATTAAAAATTGTAGATATGCTAACAGTAAGGATAAAGCAACCTGAATACATATTATATGATAGAAACTGATCGGAAACATACATAAAAACTGTTAGACCAATAGTCCAAATATTTCTAAATATGTCCTATCATTTATACAAATACAAACACTAAGAATACAGTTTTGAAATGCATACCCTGTCCTTGAACTCTCCATTGAAAGCAAACTGATTTTCAGGTTTCCCATCAGGGACTTTGTATCTTTTGAACCAATCAAAAGTTGCCTCCAGGTATCCAGGCTTAAGTCGTCTTACATCATCAATATCTGTAACAAATCAGCAACAAAGGAGAGCTCTAAAATTCAGAATAACTCGTGGAACTGATGCTATATTTTCCAGCAGTGCTAGAAACGTCTATTATTCATACTGTTAAAGTCGGCGGCTTCAGGGTCCTCAGTATTGATCACAATGACCTTCCAGTCTGTTTCTCCCTCATCGATCAAAGCCAGAGTTCCCAGAACCTTCACTTTGATTATTTCTCCCCGAGAGCACACCTGAGAATCAAAGGCACATTTTTGAGAAAGCTGCAAACAGTTGAATTTAAATCAGTCTCTTCAAAACCCCTCATCAGAGATGTTCCGGCACCTTATTTCCTATGTCACAAATATCGATAGGATCGTTGTCTCCGCAGCATCCTGTGTCACTGTCCTTGTGATTGGGGTCTTCCCATGTCTGTGAGAAGAGAGAGCACATGTTTGATGGAGCAGAGACATGGTCTGGTTTCCTGTTGTTTGAATATCCTTGGAGAGGGACTTGCCTGTGGAATAGCTCCATAATTCCAGATGTAGCCTTTGTGAGGAAACACATTTGCTACATAACGGAGATTCCCCTTCTTAATGTCTTGTTTCAGTGGATTTAGAGGATCTTTGGTGGCAATCTGATAAACACAAAGCCAAAACACTGTTACATCATTTCTAAAAACAGAAGGAAAACCCTGACCCACAATGTACACAATGTAAACAACATATTAGCTAAAATATAGACTATAGGCTTTGTATTAATCCATGAATACATAGATCATTTGGAAAAGTATGTATATATACCTCCATCTTTGCATTTGTCCATCTTGGAACCTCGACAACAGCATGAAAAATATTCTGCAAGATGATCAGAAATATAGTTTTGTTACATCAAGGATAAATTCTCATTCCTTTTAAAAAAAAGATGTACTAAGATGTAACTAAGATGTACATGCACAACAGTGATTATAGACAGGGCAAAAAAAGACAGGCCAAAGTTGAAGGATGCTGAAAGGAATGGCTGATGTATACAGTACATATACTATACATCAGCCATACTGCATGTGCTTATATTTTCAGAAATGCTATTAATATGTACAGTCTCTGTCAAATAAAGTAATACATTAGACTAAACTTAGAAAAATACTACTCTTAAACCATTAATGTGAACCATTAAGGCTCAATGAAGCAGTTTTACTGTGCCAGCTTCTGCCTGAACTAAAGGTACAGTCACTAAAGTCGGTTAAGGTAGTACATTGATCGTGGCCCCTGGAGGGAAACCATCTGTCCACCACTGCAGACAAACTGGCATATAGAAATAACGTCGACACTCTTCTAAAGCCAAAACAGCAATGGATTGGGAATAAAATATAAAATGCAAAAAAGTAGCATAGACTATGACTCATTTTGGTCACCTGGGGTACATAATTATACTTTTAAAATTACACATGGTAGGTGTACAACAATTAGATTTGCAAGAAAAGATATTTCAATGAACATTTATACAGTACAGCCCCAGCATCAAGCCCTTCTAATCCAAAAGATACAATACAGCTCTACTTTTTAAAAGAAGTTGCAAAGACCTGCAGCATTAAAGGTACAGTGTGTAACATTTATGAGGATCTATTCGTGGAAATGGAATATGATATCTTATCATGTGAAAAATGAGAATTCTTATGTTTTTGTGATCATAGAATGAGCCTTTTATATCTGCAGACACATTAAGAAAGAACAAACCAAACACTGGCTCTAGATAGGGCCAGCTGTATTTCCTTGTGCGTTTCACGGCCACTGTAGTTTCTCCTTCGCGCTTGGAAGTGAAGGGGAAAGTGAAGGAGTTGTAAACTGTAACTTCATTGCGATTTGCAAGCCCCCAAGAAGAGTGCCGGGCTTTCACGCCAGTTTGACATAGTGACCAATTACAGCAATGGCATACATCATGTGATGTACAGGGACCCCAAAAGATTTTTTTTCCCCATGAGCTAACATTGTGAAAAAAGCAGCTGTAAAATGGTGGATACATTCTTTTAAGCATCGCAACCCCCACAAAATGACTTGTTTCACAATCAGAAACAAACTTTTTTGGCTTCATGCGCCACTTAGTGACTTCCATAAGAATAAACGGAGCCCAGTATCCAGTTCTCCTTTAATACTCCCATGGCTAGATGCCATTAAATCCTACACAGTGGTCCTTTAACTGTAAAACATTATGCTCACCTCTGCTTCATTTGCGTAGATGGGAATGTCATGGAATGGAGAGATGTATTTGCCCTCAGAGTTTTCTGTGGAAAGGAGTCTTACATTTTTTAGAGCTCAAACAAAGGTAGTGTGAGATCCCTTCATAAAGATCTACAATTACTTGTAATAAGAGCTATTACAGTACTGTTGTTGTTGCTATGCGCAATCCAGGGAGGGAAAATTCCCTACTAACACACAAGATAGTTCATTCAAAGAGCTGTGCTTACTGAAAAACACCCTGTAGTCCTGGGTGTTTGGCTTGCCCCTCTCCTCGACGATAAAGCTCATGTCTGTTGTTGATGTCAAACTCCTTCTGTGGTCTGAGCACTAAGAAGCTCCTGACAGACAGGCAGTCATTGAGACAGAAGGAGCAGGCATGCGCAAAGCTTAAGCCGAGGGTTAGACCTGACAACTGTCTGCGTGTGACAACAGGGCTGCTGTATGAAGAGTGCAAAGGCCAGCCAAGAGAGTCCTGCTGGTTTCTGTATGTTCATCACCTGCATCTGCAGTAAACAAACCTCTTGGAGAAACAGAATTTGCTCAGAATTGTAATCAGCAGCTAATCCGTCCTTGTTACCACTTCTCCATGGCTGCCACCTGCGTTCTGCGGCATGGATGAGAAGTTTCTACTTTCTTTGCGTGTGGAGTGATTTGTTTTCCATTTGCCTCTCGTAAGCTGTGGCTCTTGAGAGCTCTTTTCAGACAAAAACAGATGGAGCTGACTGGCGTTAGCTGTAAACCAATTAACAAGGCAGGATTAGTTTGTGACTTCTTGCCTCTTCAGTTTCACTGTAACTATTTGATAACATACTTATGGGCCTATTTTTAGAAACAGTATGTATAAAATATGTGACTCATCTTTCTTTTTCTCTAGAATACATCACTTGAATTATGATGGTATCATGATGGTCACTTACCAATATGGTACAGATGCTGAATAATAGTGTATTTGTGTGTTATATAGCATTTTGAGCTTTTGCACCAATGTTTTTTGTCAGTAAGTAAGACATATATTTAATTGAATACATATTATTCATAATATAGTGCAGTCAATAGAGAAGCTCGTTTACTTTTTGCATCATTACAGATTTATGTTAAGGAGAAAATCAGCACACTAAATGCAACTCCATCTTTGCTGGGAACTATGTTGCTAACTGAAACAAGTTAAATGTACCAAAGTATACAGAAAAGACCATGCTAATACTAATGACCATGCTATTTTTTTATGCTATTGCTATTATTTCTAAGATTACAGTGCTAATTTATATCAGTTTTTTATGATTTTTCAGGCCAATTAATAAAACAACAGTACCCCAACAACATGGTACAATTATGTTTCAATTGTTAGATGTGTCATGTACAAATTATGCAAGGAGAAGATTGTTTGGAGAAATTATGTACTATTGTAACTAAAACAGAAAAATGCACCCCACTGTAGTTTAAATTCTTGCTGCCAAGAGAGAGCTAAATATCTACAACAGTACACAGAAGATTTTCCTCTATATATAAAAAAAGCACAGTGAGTCAGAGGGCAGCATGATGCCCAATACAAGGTCACAGTCTGGGCAGCAGAGGAGTCATGTGACGCTGTAAGCTTGCTGCCTTGCTAAATATTTCTCTTGGCCAGAAGATGTTCTTCTTTGGCTGACTTGTAGGTTGCAAGAGTCTGGCATCCCAGCCTGGTGTAAAGAAGGCATTTTAAAAGTCTTTCACACAGAAAAGGGTTTAAAAAGAAAAAGAGGTCATGGCTGGGGACCTAGCATATCATAATACTACTCCCTCTTCTTGCTCTTCTGTTCTGTTCTATTCTTGAAAAGCCTGAGCAAAATACTCTGAATTGTTCTACTGTGGTCCAAGGTTATTATAATTAACTAAAACTAAAGCAAAAACTAAAAGTAGGTGTAAAATAACATAACTGAAATTAAAACAATTGTTTGTCTTGTATTTATCTCTGCAATGTAACTATTAGTTAGGCATGTTGTCAAATAAATGTAATGGAGTAAAAAGTACAACATTTTTCTCCAAAATGTATAATGTTACATAAAATGGATATACTCAAGCAAAGTACTTATATTCCACAACTTGTGATGAATACCTTTTTTTTTTATATTATATAACTGATTATATGTTTTGTACTGTTGGTCAGACAAAACAAGATATTTAGAAAATATCATATTGGGCTCTGAGAAATAGTGATTCTGACTATTTTCTGACATTTTTATTTGACAAAATCATTGTCATTGTGATTAAAGATGAAAATAATTGTTATTTGCGGCCCTACATTAAACACTATATATTGAATCATTTCTGTAAGCCACTGTGTCATCTAACATAGTCTCAGCGGTAACCCAGTGAAACAGAATGGCACGAGACTTCAGTTCCCCAATGTAAAATCTTTAATTGAAAACATTTTTTTTATACTATCAAAAGTAATAAATAAGTCATTATTTGTCTCCAAATGATGTTGTTTGGAGACAAATAATGATGATGTTGGAGATTTGTTTCATCTCCAAACATCAACTTCAGCTCTTTGTAATTCAGTCATGGAGGACGAAATCTTTACACACTTCTGTTTTCTTTTCTATTGTAAACCCACTGTGATATCTTCAGTTCAATATCTTCAAGTGTTTTCTCATTTCTCTGGTACATGGAAGCATCCAACTGAAGTAGTTAAAGGCACACAGCATGCAGTCTATAGGTGGGTAAAGATAATACTCTTTTAGGAGTCTGTGGTTGACAAAATATCTAAACTTTGTAGAGATTGCAGAGCAGACTGAGTGTTTGAGTCCAAAGGGTTTGACTTCACGTTTAGCCACTTCAGTGCTGGCATATCCGACAACTTCTCCACCGGTATTTCTGTGGGGCAAAATAAAAACAGAGAGTAAATCTAAGCTCAGACCAAGCCATATAAGCATATACAACCACTTGCCTCAATATATTATCATTACCGGTGAGGCTGTTTCCCTCCAGGTTAATCCTCTCCAGTGTGGCTATTTCAGTAAGCTTATCAGGGAAGATGGAGAAGCTGTTATTAGCCAGATTGATGCAGGTCAAATGCTCCATCTCTGCCACAGAGTTAGGTAGCTTGGTGAGAACATTGCCTTGCAGGTCCAGTTCTGCAAAATATTTCAAGACATGAGTGAATCGGGGGGTCGCTTGTTGTCAACATTTGTAAGACAGCATATTCAAAACACAGTCTTTTCTTGAAGATTGAGTCTATGAATTAATATGTGTTATCCTCTACCTCTCAGCTGAGTGAATGTTGAGAAGAACTTGCTGGAAAGGGCCTTCATCTCATTGTCAGCCAATGTGATAAAGCGGATGTTTTCTGAGACACTCCTCAGGACCTTGAACACACCGTCTGGGAAAGAAATGAGCTTGCAGTTTGACAGGTCTGCAGAGAAGAAGAACATGAATATGTGATTATCAACCATCAACACAACAGGGAAATGTTGAATATTTTTAATTCACAAACACTTTGAGAATTATAGTTATGGTTATTTGAGAAAAACAAATACAAGCCTCTGTCACCACCTGCTGGTGAAATCTGAAATAGCATCGAACAGAATAATCAGGGCTTCTCATTCTCATGCTGGGAAACAGCAGAAAAGAGCCAGTAACAGACAGAGAGAAAGATGTGTGAAGAGAGTCTTACCCAAAGTATCTTTCCCCTCCTCTACAGTTGCATTAACCCTCCGGGCCACATTTGCGACTGCCTCTGCCATTTTTCTGCCGTCACTCTTCCTATGGGAGGTCATGCAACATTAGACTTAAACACTTTTTTTTTACGAGATTTATGACAGGCAAATAATAACTTCAGTAATAATAATGGCAGCATATTATCACAGCTTTATCCAGCTTCATGCAGTTAACACACTTGCTACTTTGAACTCCGGCTCTTTTTTCGCAAGCCAGATGATTTGGTTCAGCTCTTTCTTTTAGTACCGCTTCTGACCTTTATAATTCAGCCAAATTTAGAAATATTTTGACCTATGACTGGTATGTGTGCACACACTGAAATTATTCAGTCTAAAAAAAACTGCATTCATAGTAGCACTCTGTAATTAATGGTGAAAGTACATTTACTCAAGTACTGTACTATTGTGAGGTACTTATTTGATACATATTTTCCTTTTATGGTACTTTATACTTCTACCACAATACATTTTGAAGGCCAATATTGTACTTTTAACTACACTACATTTATTTGACAACATAAATTAGGCTACTAGTTACTTTGAAGATTCATATTATTTATAGAAAATATCTAACAACTAATAAATCATGATGTATTAGTATGCATTAAACTGCCTAGTAGTAGATATAGACGTTATTGCTCTTGCAACATTATGTTGTATGTTAATCCAGTGATATTATAATATTCTAAACTAGGCCTTTCTGCATACTGAGTACTTTTACTTTGGTACTTAAAGGATAATTTTAAGGTAATACTTTTGTACTTTTACTTAAGTAAGATTTTAAAGGCAGGATTTTATATGTAGCATATTAGTATGTTATTAATACTTTTACTTAAGTAGCAAGTAAAAACTGTAAGTTATAACTTGAATACAAGTTAGTTTTCTGAAAACTGAATGAAAAATGTGAATCAGATTTTTTTTTAAAAGCAATAAAATTAAGTGTCAAAGTCTCCGAAACATGAAAAAGTGCCAGTACCTAAAAACTGTACTCATGTTAGTTATCCCTGGTGAACCAACGTGACACTGGGCAATGCACTTACACTGTGTGTCAGTATAAAATAAGCTTTCGACCCTGCCACAGCCCTACACTACCAGACTCAGACAAACGCAGCCTGTCGAGCCATTATAACGCCAGCCATTATTTCATTACTCTCATTAAAACCACGCCAAGAAGCCACTTACCCAAACTAGAAGCTAACGTTAGCAACAACAGCTGAACCACCAGTCAGTCAAATTTGGTGAGTGTGTATTTTTAGCCCCGGAGAGGGCAATTCACCCGACTCGTTGTTCTGTTCATTAGAAAACACCCACTAACCAACACCTCCTGTAATAACCATAAACCAACTTCATAAACACTCGTTGTTGCTTAACGACACTTAGTAAGGAAGGCACACATGCTAAGCTAAAGAGCCGGCCAGGAAATATATGAACGACCGGCTCATGAGAGTCAGACCTGCGCTGACTAGTTGCAGACGACTTAAGTAACAAAGCAAGCACTAAAAAAAGCAATACATGTACTTATAAAGTAGTAATAATTATTATTACTAAATTTATAATGCTCAGTCGCCTAATATTGGGTGACAGTGTTAATATATTTAGTCACTATTAGTGTCTGAACTTTGCTTTTTAATATCGGAAGTTTCAAGATATGAAGGTACTGTGAAGACACCCTGCTTCTGTTTATTCTTTTCTACTAAATCTCTAAATATATTTTGAATTTGAAGCGGTTTACATATTAAATATTTACCTGCGAATGACAGTAGGAAGTTAAATGTTGTCTTACCTCAGAGTCCTGGTCAACTATTCCCAGTTTGAGCAGTGTCATGGTCATGACTCTGGCAAATTCCTGGTTAGTCAGTGTATTTTCAAAAGGATTTTAATACAATGAGCTCTCTGGCTTCAGAAGAATAGAACTTAGTTCACCATTGTTACAACTAACCACTTTACAGCATTTGCTGGATATCCCTCCACTATAAAGCCTACAATGTTATGATTGTTTGGATAAATGTGGCCATGACTCACTGTGGAAGACTGAAACGCACTAAAACTAGAAAAGTCCACCTGTTTTGGTGTGTTGCTCCTTTTGTATGACACACACAGTAGTTTCAGGTAAATATACCAGTGATCTAAGTGATGACATGCACTGTGTTTTGTGGATATGTTTGAAAGTGTGTTGTGTTTATGACAGCAAACCAAGACTGAATCGATGCCAGCTTTTCAGTACTCAGTATGTAGGCCATCCATTAAATAACTTGCTCACATGCCCAAAAGAAAAGTACAATATGAGTAATAAAGCATAACAAAACACATAACCCACGTGTAAAATGCACATAAATACAATTCTTTTTATTATTTACAATAAATATACATTAATTTACAGTTTCACAATTGGTAGCGTACAATAAAATCAGTGCTGGAATATTCAACAACATTGCCATTTCATGTTTACATTGATGAAATTGATAAGGGGAATAAAGTTGCGACAACTGCACACAGCTGGAAGGCTGGATGCTGTTGTTGAGTCTGTATTTCAGCACATCTTAAAATAACAATGTTCTCCGTACAAACCAAAGCTCACGTTACAAATTAAAATCCCATCTCTGCACATAGATCAGCTACAATCTTTCAGTGCACGGTGACAAATATCAAAGAGCTTTTTTTTTCCTTCTGGCTAAGTGTTTCTCTTTAGTTTTTCCCTCAAATTGGTTGCTTCTGCACAGCGTTGTTTGTGCTGTTACACTGCTCCGAAACACAGGTCATGGTTGGAGGTGGTTGTAGCTGTCACTGGCAGCCACATTCATCCACAATCATGTCTTCATGGTGTCGAAGGAGCATTTCTCCGTTCTCGTAGTACAGCATGCTTAATGGGCTCATTTTGGTCGGGGCACAGCAGGGGGCTGCCACTCTGTCAGGGTGGTAATGTTTCAGTAAACTCTGGAAAAGGAAGAAAGAAAACAGAGGATTTAGTTAAATACTTCCAGCCTCTTTAAATAAAGACACTAAAACAGACAGATTTTGAGTTCAGTTAATCGATTAATTGACTAGTTGTTGGAGCTGTACTCTTTTTTGTAAACCCTGGTTTTACAATTGCATTTGAAATTATTACTATTATAGATTGATGGATCATCTGCACCACTCACCTGCATGTAAGCATGATTTGTTGGATTTAGTTCTCCTCCAAGGGGACCAGGGCAGGAACCCTCACACCGGTAGGCATTATATCTTTTAGGAAAGATAATCCAGGACCCCCAGCCAATTTGATTAAAGTCTACATGCAGGTCGACTCGGCGACAGAGAGATTTTTCACTCCCTCTTTTGGACGCCTGTGGGCTTCTCACTGTTTGTTCTCTCTGGCCCCGTTTGCTCCTGCGCCTCTTGGGCCAGTGGGCCTTTTTGATTTCAGCAGGGGACAAGAACTTGGATTGTTCAGCTGTGTGGAGTAAGCTCGCTTTGGCTTTTGAGTTTTCATCGGAGCCAGTGTGTGAGAAGACGACCAGCAAGGCCCTGTCACTCACGTCCTGCTCTCTGTTCGCCCCATAGACAGGCTGATCGGGAAGCGACAGGCCTCTCTTTGTCTTCACCGCTTTCCGTCTTCTTGACACTCTTCTGTGTCGACTCCTCGCTGTCAACTTTTGTCTGAGCCAGCTCAAGAGAGGACTTGTCATGTTGAACACTTTCCAGCTCTGTGATGAAGTAACCAGTGATGATTCAGCGAGCAGTCCCACCAGCTGTTGCTCCTGGCAGTCCTTCTGCGTATAGCACCCCTCGCCGTGCTGGTGATAGACCTCGACGGTGATGTTGGAAGCACTTGGTGTCCCAGGAAGCCTGATTCTCAGCTCTGCCGCCTGGATCTGTTTGTCGGCCAGCAGGGCATGGAGGTCAAAGGTCGCAATCCAGCGCTTGTTTCTGTACATCAAACCTAAAATGTAGGAAAAAGAGGAAGGTTAGCATGATCGGGGTGCACACTGTATCAGACAACGTATCATTAGTGGACACTGCGGTAAAATCAGGTATGTCACATCAATATGACCACACACAAATGAATGTGCCAGTGAGCTTTCTAGGGGAAGCAACATCAACCTGTTGCAGAGAGACAATGCAAAGACACACAGGTTATGAAAATGTCATAGCAAAATGAATGTTAACTGTTAACTGCTGTATTTGAATTGAGGTAATTTGTGATTATCTCCTTCAGTGAGTTTATATTTAATATTGAACAGAGCGGTTTAATAAATAAGAACATATAGTACAGACGTTTGTCTATCTATACCAAGCATTAAACTTAACAGGTGAACTACACTCATAGACACATGGTGAGCAGTATATATTGTGTAATAGTAAGATACTTTTTATTTTTATATACAGTTTATTCCAGGGTACAGTCCTTTATTATCCCTGGTTGCATTAGGCCACGGTGAGGCTGTCTTGGCAAAAAGAGACCAAAACTCTCTCAATTAAATTAAAAATAAGCTTTATCACACTACATATGAATATTATCCTGTAATGAACATGTGAATCTACATAGGCTAGTCCACCAATACGTGGTAGTATTGCAATTAGTTATTTGGCATCACATTATTATTATATCTACACCTCATTTGTTTTGCAAAGTGAGGTGTAGGGAGAAATATAAGTCCCTTTGATAATGTCTACTACGACCTCGTGATTAATGCTTGTATTTATGGAGACTTCAGCAAATCAAAGCCTCATGTAAAGCTTTTTTAAAAAAAATAATCCAGCCATTGTTCCAATGTAGCACAACATGTGCTGCGCCCATGTCTGTCATTGCTGGGGGGGGCTCATTGTGATTCAATGAACAGGTGTGGTTCAAATTAATCTAAAGGATTAAAGCATCTTAGACATTTACTTTAACTGCATTGTCCAGTGCATTGGCCTATTTAGCTTGACCGTTGATCAAAAGTGCAAACCATCGTCGCCGTTAATCCACTCAAACCAAACCCCAGAGCCGAAACCAATCATTTAACACATCTCTGGCTTCTGCATATCCTCAGTCAAACAAATAGGTAATAACTCTAACACCTAGCAGCGATGTGGAATTGGATTCAGCAGCGGGGAGTGCTGTCCTCTTGTTGGCTCCTTGTGCCATTAAATCCCGAGCTCTAATCTAATCAAGCCAAGTGTGAAAAAAGAACTAAGGGAAGTTGTTGATTTGACTTAACAAGAGATTTGTATAGGGGGATGTCTGGCGAGATATCTAATCAACATCGCCTATTTAAGAAAAAAAAAAGAAAGAGGTTTGCTTTGAGAATTAAGACAGAAAAACCCGGCCTTTTCACACGCTGATCCCTGCGTGGTTATTCACCCCTGCGTGGGGATGTGGATTGAAACCCTCCGAGGTCGTCTGGGACGCAGCTTTGACAGGAGAACACTTGAGCCAAAAAAAAACCTTAACATCTCAGAGGCTCTTTAAATGGTAGAAGAGAGACTTTTTTTTTTTTTTTTAACCACAGCTACAGGCAATACACACATTTTCTAGACTACCTGTGGTCCACACAGTTCCCATCACCTTGCCCCCCCCCCTTGCTCACTCATGACAAACATAAAACCTGAAGAATAAATGAAACCAAATCTTACTTTTAGCCACCACACTCTTCACCGTGTCTGCTTGCTTTGCTGCATCTTGCTCCATAATATCCATAGGCCTGGAAAAGTTGGACTTGAAATTCCTGTAGAGATGCATCATGTAGGTCGGCAGGTGGTAGCCGGTGGATCGGTCCATCGCGGAAAAACGCTCCAGCGACCTGATATAAACTCCATCTGTGGCTCTCTGAAGCCCCTGAGCCAGCAGCACCAGCAGAGATGTGTGCAGCGCAAAAGCCAGAATTCCCAATGAGCGCATGTTTTCGGCCGGTTAATGACAAATTCCTCTACTGGGAGATTAGGGGTGTCTTATATAGGCTACTCTCACCCAGCCCCTTTCATGTTTAACAAGTAGCTGAGAACATTAAAGGAAATTGACATGCCTGACAGCTCATCATCCATTCAGTTGGTAATGAGGCGCCTGGGTGCGTGTTTACAAGGAGTGCAGCTTTTTTTTTTGTTTGCGCCATGTTCTTTGGGCTACTGCAGACTGATTCCCCATCCTTGGATTAATTGCCTCAGCTATTTGGCTTACACTAATTGTTAGGCTTTCCCATAGTGTAACGTAGTCTGCTGAATACCGTCTGATATGGGGAGAACGATTGGGCTATAAGACACTAATGAAACATTACAAACATTAACATAAAACACACTGTTGTAAATACGACACTCAATATTCACTGTTATCGGGATTATAAATTACATTTATAGGACATTGTTGCCTAGACTTCTATTTTAAACATGTTGCGTAACTTTTGGGCTTCACACAAAGACATTAAGATAAAAGATAAAACAGCAACAGAGGCCCAACACTAAATAAGATAAACTTAATATTGACCTCAGACACGAAACAGCCACCTTATCTCATCTTGCATATATAATATTACTTATAATAATATTCATACAATCCATACATGGATTTATAGCTCATATGTGTTTATGTAACAACTCAATATTTAATTTTTAATGACCTCACCATACGTTTTTTGTTTTTTTGGATTCCCATATTGATCATTATCATATCATTCTAATGCTAAAACCCCTTTAATGTTCCTATATACGTTTGAGGTCGTGGACTGTATTTGCATAACAACATTAAAAAATGTAATGTCTCGTCACAGTGGCACGTTATAATATCTTATTTCATTGATTTCATATTTTAGTCGAGGGTTGGATGTAGGGAAGACTGGCCGGGGATGATTGCACACTGCGCATGCGTGGCCAGTCTATTCTCAGCGAAATCCTTTTCCTCGTAAATTTCCCGAGAAAGGACTAAAAAAAAAAAAAAGATCAATGGATGTTTTCTCCAGGGCTGCGGACAGAAAGCGTTGAACCTCGGCTGCATCCTCCCAACCGGACAACCCGAGCTCTGAAAACATGTTTTCTTGAGAGATTTCCCCGTTTTTCCCTCCACCGTGTGCTGAAATGGTGAGTAGCTTTAAAGTTTACGGCTGTTGTTGCACGAGCCACGGCAGGCTGAAAGTGATCATTCACGCCGTGTTTGTGCTCAGACTCCTCACACTGTCTGGATAGCTTTATTAATCATGCAGTACAAACATTTGCAGTTGAGCACTTTGAAGAATGAAGGATATTTTCATGATGCGAAGTGTTTGTGTGCTTGGGGCATACATGTGCTTGGCACCCCCCCACACACACTTACTCACACACACACACACACACACACACACACACTCACACACTCTCTCCATGCCTGCACTGCATCTAGCCATTATTTGGCCACAGGCAGTGATGAATGATAGAGTACAGCTATGACTTGCAGTTGGTGCTCGTTATCAGGAAAAAAGAGAGAGACAGACACTTTCAGATAGATGTCAAACTATGCTTTTATTTTCTTTAAAAACGTCTTGATTTTGATGTACAGCCCGCAGTGAATGTGTGCCATAAACACTGGAAACTTTGAATAACATTTGCACCTACTTCTGCACAGAATGTACTTGTATATTCTGTAAGATATAGCCACATTGAACACTAAATGATATAAGCTGAAAGGTTAATTTACTAGCTTCTTCATTGAAGAAGACTGAGAAAAGGCCTTTGAACTTATATAACACATGCAGCGTAAATCCATTGTTTTATGGTTTTATGCATTTTAAATCATCAAAGCAAATCACACAAAGTTTATACATAGTCTGAATCAGCATTCATGAAACATACCAAGACATGTTAAATCTTCCCGTTGGGTGTGCAATGTAAACCATGAAAAAGTCTACAGCACAGTAAGACAAAGCACATGATGCATGCTTTGATGTAAGGCAGTCCCTGGACCGTTTTGTTTGATTTAGCCTGCGCAGCTGGGATCAGTCTACTCTGTTCATATCACTTTACCTTAACATCCCTGGGGGAAGACAGAAACTGGCCCTTGACAACCGAGAGTGCAGATCAAACTGCGAAAACATCACAATTAATCAAGAGTGAGAGCATGAAACTCCTCGATGAATGGACACCTGGATCATAAATGATTGAGCTATTTATTCTTGGTTTATCTTGATAGGAGGAATAGAACGGAAGCTTTACTCCTCCCAGGCTTAACTCAAGTGTTGTCATAGCCTTGCTTTATTATAAACTTTATGGGCCATAGGGATATTGGTTGGGGACTGATAAACTCAAAGTAGGGGTCCAGTTAGGTTTGGCAAATTTGACCCTCTAAAAACCATTATTATTGCAGAAAAGTTATTGCAGAAAATATGAGAAATACTTCATTTTCTCTATTATTTTTTTAGTCTTGATCCAAATTCACAGCCTTTTGAAGTATCCATTAAGATGCATGGTGCCACGTTATTGTGTATATATAGTCATAAGATAATGAACATCTGTGTCCCAGTGACGAGGAATCTTATACACGCTGAAGTGCAATGGATTAGTTTTACCACAAGGTGTCATATTTGATCACCGGACTCAAGTGAATATTTAACATCACAAATATGTCCCCTTAGTGGTGGTGATGTATTTGTAACTTGAAAGGAAAAAAATGGTTTGACCACTGATGTACTCATACTACTTCCTCTACTATCTCCTCCTTTCCTGTTGCTGTTACAAGGCTTCTAGCAAATTGCCCTTTTGGGGGTAAGACAGACACTAGACCTGAGGAAGGATTTTTGTCGAGACAGGTGATGTTACCCGTATGCTCTTCTTTTTCCATTGGGGACATTAAGCAGAGAGGAAGTTTTTCTTAATCTCTCACATAACATCCTCTCACTCCAAATTGTGCTCTGCTTCATCGCCATCTAATAAAAAAAACTGGAAGGAAATGAAGCTGTCAGATGAACTAAATGTGTCATTTTCAATCTTTTTTTGAGTATATCACTTTAATTTCTGTATCTTTGAGTGCCACCTACTTGGCACCTTCTTGTTTCTTGATATTTGGTTTAGATCTTAAAAAATCAACCCCCGAAAAACAAAATCACGCTTATGATTGCTCAATCACCGATTGATTCATTCATGTTCTGCGGTTTTTTGAGCCATGGGAGGGTTTCACATTCATCATGTTGCAAAAACATCAGAGCCTTGGCCCGCGCTGCTGCAGGAAGGAAGGAACAGGTGTGGCAGCAGTAGATTTTATATCCATATCTTGAAAAACCACTTACCGCTTTTGCAAATAAGCTTAATTTTATACATTATCTTGTGACCGACTGCTGATTACACATACTTTTGTGAGATTTCGTGTGAAATATTCTCACAAACTGCCATTCAGAAGACAAGCTTGATGTTGCTGGCTGTTTTGGAGTCATATATGTGAATGTTTATCAGGATTTGTCAAGTTTATGCCTGTACAGGTATAATATCACTAGACTCTGTTGGCTTTGTTCTTTCTTCATACAGCCCACAGGATGAAATAGGACACTCGGTGCATGATGAGTTGGTCTGACCTCAGGGTTACGACTACAAGTGGTAGAGCACACAGCTCCCTGCAGCTGAACCTCAAGCTTAAATCTAAGTATTTGGCCAGCTGTAAGCCTGTTTGCCTTCAACATAGCATGTGTTAACCGCTAATGAATGGAGTAATTAGAGCATCGTAGCGAATTAGGCTTACGTGATGTCATCTGTGTGCAGTTGTTACTGATTGTCAGCCTCCTGGCAGGTCCGCATTACATCATGTCAGTGAGGGTTAACGGCTGAGGCTGATTGTAAGAACTTTAATAAGTGAAGGTTTAATTTATGTCTTTGAGACAGTTGTTAAGAGGTCTACCATGTGTGGGAGGCATTGTGCTGCCAGGAGGCTCTGGTAGTGATTGGATAGTGAACTGAATGATGAGTAAGCCTCTCTGGGTCCGCCTCCACATCCTCTTTACACATCCCCACACACGCACACAGTTGCACACACAAATCCAAGCATGCGCGAGGAGCCTTGCACCTTATGCACAAGCGATGCATACAAAAACGTAACAACAAACCAGCAAAGGAGCCTGCCGTCACCCATTTAAACCTCCGACGGAGAGCTCCCCTCCCCTCCCCTACCCTCTGCTGAGTGCCTGTCTGGGATCTGTCCTCACGGAAGGACACGTTCATTGACTCGCTATAAGGGCGCCTTAATGATGCGAGACCGCCGCCTGCAGTAGTGTGATCAGCGGGCAGAAACAGATTGCCTCACAGATCAGAGAGAGAAAGAGATGCCATCAAGGATGTCTGACTGAGACCGGTGCCGCTGCCTGCTGGAAAGCTGTCATTTTGGTTATTTTTAACCCACTGTTTTCTTTTTTTCATTGTGTTCCTCAGAGACTCAAGCACCTCTCGGATGGTGGACTGATCAGCTGAATGTCAGGTATAGTTGTGATAATTTGTTCTTTGTTTTGATGCTAGAGTACTGCTGCTAGACATGTCATCAGTATGTCTCTAAAGGATACAAAAAGAAATGTAGATTCTGAGATTTAAGATTAAACCGCCTTGTCAAACTAAAAATGATCTTAATCTATCATAGAATATAAACTTTTGCAGAGAGGCTTTTTTTTTTGGTTTAACACATTCTTTTATAAATCTAGTCATGTTTGATATTCACATAGCTACACGGATTGCATTCTTCTCGGCATGTGATGCCTAGTCTCTCCTCTGAAGTGTTTATCAGCTCTCATTCCTTTACCAGAGGACCAGCGCCTGTTTGACAGGATTCTGCCTTCCCTCGCCAACTTTAGAAAATGTGGCTGCTAAGTGGACGAGTGTGTTTGCACACACACAAGTTTACCTTTTCAGTCCGAGTGGCGAGCGAAACGAAACACGTTAACAAATTTGTGTGACATCTGTCCTTTGGCGAGGCTTTGACAAATAAAAATGCTGTCAGTTAGCTTGGTGGTGCTTACAGAATATTGTGGTCAGACGTCCGGGGTTTAGAAAAAAATGTAAGCCACATTACTGCAGCCTTGAAATCATAGGGGGATAAAATTGCCATCTTGAAATGAAATAAATTACAGGCAGTGCTTTAAAAATAGATTTGCACACCCTTTTTAGCAGCTCAGTGTCAAGCTGTGATGAAAGCAAGAATGTTGAAGGCTAAAGGTTATTCATGTGATTTATGTTTTATTCACTGCAGTAGCATAGTTTGTTTTGTCTCACTTGTGGAGTCCCAGTAGATTAGACGCTTTAACTGGGAAAAAGTGCCTCTCACTCAGTTGTTTTCCAGTCAGTTTGTGCACAATCTGCAATATCTGTCTTGCAGTGCAAAAGCTATTTGAGGTAGTTTGATCAGACCTGGAAATTGCATCCTTGAACAATGCATGGCAAGGCTTCCTTTTTTGCCACAGTCTCTTTCTGAGCAGACTGATTTATTTTGGATGAAAACAAACATCAAAGCTGTAAGTGGACACAAAGTCACAATGAGGTCTTTGGAACAGTTGAGGGAAAACAAAAATTTTCTGGAGAGGAAGCACTGAGCTCATTTCCGCACAGCACTGATATTTAGCTCAGGAACTCGCAATGTCCTGTGGAATCACGCCTGTATGTAACCCTTAACCTCATTGGTGAAATATGTGTACAGCTGCAGGGAGGAAGTTTCAGAGAGTACAACTAAGCATTTCCTGTCAAGGTGTGCTTACACTTCCTCTGCTTTGGGGGTGTGACTGGGTTGTATTGAATGGTTTGGTGGTCTAGTATCCTGTGATGAGTGAGAGACTGTGGGACATTGTGTCATTGTTATAAATTAGACTACAGTTACATCAAACCTCCAATTGGCATACATTAAATTGGGTTTTTGAGCAGTGCTGAACAATACTTTGGACATTCCTGCATATGCACATAAATGGAAGGCTGGTTTAGAAATGAAAACTTGACCGCATCATACAAACATCAGCTTATGTTTTGATGTAATTCTGTTGTTTTTATGTGGTTTTGTGCCGCCAGCAGGCTTTCAAACGTAACATTGGCAGACGGAACAAGTGGCCTCCTTGGAGACCAGAAATGCCCAGGACCCTTGAATAGGATAGAAAAAGATGAGCAGTGTTGCCAAGTAAGAGAGTTGCATTGAATTGGCACTTTGTTGTGCCTTGCTATCACGATTGCGGCTCTCTTCTCCATCTTGATATGGGAAGTTGTGTCGAAAGATATCCCTAAGCGTTACAAAGTGATACCCATCTCTCTTGAACCCCTGCATCTCTTGTGAATGAAGAGTACTCTGCATCCTTCCTCGGGGCCACCAACAGATGCATCCTGCAGCTGCACCCTCCTTCCTGTCTGCACTCAGGCCCTTTTGTCTGAAGACGTTGCTACAGCAAAGTTGGGACACCGGCTGAATTTAAATGGGGCAGCCCTGAATGGAGCAATGCTGGTAAGCTGGCAGGAGGTTCCAGTTTCCATGGTCTTATTCTTACTGTGCAATCAGTGAATTTAAATATTAGTGCCTTTGACTTCTTCAGCCAGCTGCTCGCAGCCTTGATGGCAGTGTCTTTTTTTTGTTTTTTGATCATTCCACGTTGTCAGAGGAAATCTGAGTTTGTCTTGTCGTTTTATTGGCCTCGCGAGCAGTGCGACACTACTCTGGTTGACATGTGGAATAAACAGCGTCTCTGATGAGTTGCCTTGATTGGATCTCCAGGAGGATGTTTATGACTGAGGGCTATTTCTACTCAGGCCTCCGCCCCAGCTGCCCGCCTGCTAGACCAGGCCTGCCCATGCTGAAATCAGTGTGGCTGACGAGCTAAGCTTCTGTGTGTAGCAGGAACTTCCGTATCAAAGTGTGCGTGCGCCATGGTCTTGCAGCAGAGGTGACAGGCTATAAGGTAAGACCGAGGAAGGTTTTCGATGCTCCACTTGCAATGAGCAAGCTGCTGTATGCTGTGCAGCATTAATAACGTCACATTTCCTTTTGGGGGCCTGTAAAACTAGAGCTTCTGTCAGGAAGTGTCAGTTAGCCTTATTTAACTCTCAGATGTTTTACAAATAACAACACCACATGGGTAAGATATAGGAAGTTCTTGTGTGGATGAGAATATTGGGAGAATCTGTTGTCAGAGTGTTTTATAGCTTTCTACTGAGCCAAATAGGAACATGCATATTATCATGCATGACTGTGGTGGTGGGTAAAGCAAACCTACTGATTAAATGTCCTTAAAGTGACAGGGATTGAAAAGGTTTTGCTATGTAAATGCTCTTTACTGTGAGGAATGCACAGACTGTAAGCTCCGTTTTTTTCTAGTCCAAATAGAAAGTCAAGGAGACACAGAAGACGTCTATATCTATCATGTTTCATACCTACACTTTTGTTTTTTACTAGTGTAGAAGACGTGACAGTTGTAACTATTTATTTTTACTACTTTTATTTCAAGTCAAGTCAAGTTAGGTGTATCTGTAGATCTAGGTCATAAATGTGCCGCAAAGGGCTTTACAGTCTGTACAGCATACAACACCCTCTATCATTAGACCCTCAGTTTGGATAGGAAAAACTCCCTGAAAATTTTAGTCTGGAAAAAGGAAGAAACTTAAGGAAGAACAACAGATGATGGATCCCCAGAGCAGACATGCATCCCATAGAAGTGCAGAAAGAACTATTGACTAAACGTTTTTACACTTGGCCGAGGTGGAAAAGTTGGCATATCGATAAATGCTCTGAGGTCTCTGCTCGACTGGAGAAATAAGGATGGAAATGTTTATTAATTTGCCTCTTCTTTTGATAATTATGTAGAAATGTGGTAAAAATGTGCACTACATTTGTATGGAAACTTGACTAGTAATAACAGTGGTTACATTTCAATATGGAGAAACTGAAAGACAGTAATCTTTTGATTTGTCTTAAGTGCTTAAGTATTGAAAAATGACCACCACAAGTTCCCAGAGCTCAAGGTTATGGGTGTCTTTAAATTGTGCTTCTTTTGTCTGACCAACATTCCAAAACCCCAAATATTACATTTATAGTTTTATAAAACAAAGAAAAGCAGTACATCCTCATATTTGAGAAGCTGTAACCAGTCGATGTTAAATTTGATCGGTTAGTTGAGTTATCATTCCAGCGTGTTCCCTTTGTACTGCTGGCTGTACAGTACAAGAGCCAACTGTGTCGTCTTTGTGCACAGCCTGTCCCTGTGAAAGGGAGCTGAACTTTGGCCATCTGGCTGCCAGATGTACCACTACTTCCCCCCGGTCCCCTCCGCAGAGACTTGTTTCTCGCATGAATCTACTCCCCAACATCATATGAGATAAGACGTGGACGAGGAGGACGCTGTCTGAAAGCTCCTGAAATTTTTGCCCAATGCTAAGCAGCCAGACACTTTGAGCTCCCACAAGGGGTGTTTCCCACTGACTGGGAGTGGGCAAGGGCATCCAAGAGAGGAAGATTTCTTTTTGGATGTGATGCCAAGTTCTCACACTACTTTGGACCATGGCGGAAAACAAGCAGCAAAGAAAAGGATCTCGAAGTACAGATCGCTCCTCATCTCAAACGTAAGATGTCAGATTTTAGTGGATTCTTCCAGTGTGGAGGCTTTTTGTTGTTTTTCTTGTGGTAGTCCCAGAATTATGGCAACAGAGATGCTTTTGGTATGTGGTGAGGACTCAAATAGATTTGGGCAGCAGGAGCAAAGTATTCTTGAAAACTTGACTTCCTTTTATGGAACTTGGGTAGAGATTCTGCCTCTTTTTTCTCTTTTTTTTAAAATTTCGTAGCATATTTGCTGAATTCGAGAGATAGACTTTGTACCTATATTTTTTAACCATGGCAGCAGACAAGATAATAAGAAAATCAATAAGTTGCCATCTTCCACGTTGTGCTTATAAGAGGAGAATCTCCCTACTGAATCAAAAGGTCTCGAAACACAAGGTTGACTTGCCCACTCAGCTTCAGACGCAACAAAGAGGAGAGTAGCGGTGACTCACCGGCACTTCTCTCTTCACAGAGCCTCTCTGTACAATGAGAGTCCACTCTGTTCAGAGCTGGAGATCACACAGAGCTGCTTTGAGGTCAGGCAGCAAAAGTCAACCCTGCCATACCCCTCAGCTGTGTCACATCAAGTAGATTTTGATGTTGGATTGATTCTGTGGTTTTGGTTTGCACTTTGGTGCCCCAGTGTTACCGTATGTGTATCTGTGAGTATGTGTCAGTGCTTTTCTGTGTGTTGTTTAAAGTATAATGTTGACCAGCTACATGCTGTAAACGATGTCGAGGAGCAGTGTTATTGTAGCCTGTCGGGAGACTCGTTTGTTTATCTGCAGAGCTCCCTGCAAAGCTCACTGTTTATTCAGAGTGGAGGAGGTTTGGTTGAAACCTGTGGCTGGCTCGCGTGGGGGTCTGAGTGCTTCATATCAAGTTGATTAAAATATAAATACTGTCACACTCGACTCTAATCCCATGCCACCATGATTGAATTGTAGAGATGTGAAGTTAATGATGATGATTGTAATTTAAGTGCTGACTAAACCTAAAAGGGGATTTTATGAAGGGAAACCTCTACATGTTCTACCTCTTTTAAAAACAATCACAAAACTGCTCCTGTTATGAGTAAAATTGTTATAGTAGTAGTATAGTATGACATGATTTATCACATAGCCTAAATTGGCTCTTTGTCAGATATAGAGGCATCAAACCGTTTTAATCTGTTGTTTGTTTTTCATGTAATAAATCAGACATAATAGCTGGAACAGACAGTATGTCAAGCATTGAGAATAATGATTCATATTTACAGTATTTAAATTCAGCAGCTGGATAAAATAAATGCATGTGCATGAATGATAAACCTTATGAATGCAAAAATGATTAAAAAACACAATAGGAAGCCCACATTTAAATTAATAGTTTGTTTTGGGAGTTTACTTTCTTGCCTAGACTTGTATGAGAAGATTGATGCAACTCTTGTCCGTACGCAGTTAGCTCAGCTTAGTTTAGGAATGAGACTAGAAACAGGCGGAAACAGCTTGCCTTGCTTTTCCCATTAGTTAACAAGAAATCTGCCTATGAGCACTTCTATGGTCCTCTGAGAACCACAAATCATGGCAATCCAATAGTTGTTGAGATATTTCAGTGTGGACCAAAGTGGTGGACAACAGACAGACTGACATCGCTGTAAATCACTTGAAAAATCTATTCGTAGCTCTAATTTTTTTTTTTTATTCACTTCAGTGGGGAAGTATGAGACATTCTAGAAATAGATTTGATTTGTCTCTAAGTGGTGTCCCTCCCCATATGTACCCTGTGTTGCCACTGTGTATGCATGTGTGTCTGTGTGTTTGCTTCCTGTTTCTGAGTACGCTGCGATGTCATTCACAGCTGCTTGTGGAGCATGGGTACAACTGCCAGTGCCGCACCACAACCTGTAACCGTAGCGTCGCCACTTGAAAGTGTCCATGGCAACGGGATGGCTGACAGCAGGCAGTCTCTTAGCATGAGCCCCTTCCAGACAGTCAACATCCACAACAACAAGGCCAAGTCCATTATCACCAACAAAGTCGCACCTGTCGTCATCACGTAAGTCCCTCCCCGAATCCGCGTTCTCACAATTGGGTGTTAATCCTCTTTGATCACTGTGGTGACAGCCCCCTCCACCAACCCCTAGCCGAAGTGTTTGCCCCCGTTATCATCTCATTTGTCAATCCAGGCCTGGCAAATAGTAGCTGATAATTGAATTGACCTCTGTTTACCACCCAGACCTGCTGTTGTGTTCTGTTTCACAGGTATAATTGCAGACAGGAATTTCAGATTCACGATGACATACTCAAGACCAACTACAAAGTTGGTCGGATATCCGACGCCATGCCCGAGCACTACCTGGTGCAGGTAAGCAAAACATACACAACAAACCTCTTAGCTGCAAGAAGGCACCGCACTGTCGTAGAAAGATGTGGAATCATCTCACCTGTCTTTAAGCCTGCTCTTTTCACATTCACATGTCCAAATTGCTGAGTGGCATTGGAACATTGTCATGCGCTGTTTTATGATCTGGGGCAGCAATTGAAACAGGAATGTTGTCACCCTTTTATCAGGGCTTTGATCTGCTCCGTCACCTCTGCTGCGTCTGTTCAGGCATGCAGGGTTTTATCAGTGTTAACCCGTAGACTCTGTTTACATGTATAGATAGGTCAGCAGTTTTACGAACAGTAAGATCAGGAAGTCAGATATGTTTAAAAATACATCTTTTCCTCTCTGTTTTGGCATCTGCATTAAGCATGTTCACAACCAGAAATGTTTCAGAAACACTTCCCAGAGTGGAAACATTTGAAAACGCCAAGTGTGTGTTGGAACATGGACACAAATAGAATGATGAAATATTTTTGCTCATACTGGTGTTGTGTGTCAGAAATGTTAAGTTCATACAATACGCGTGTTTCAGTAGGGCTGGTGTTCTACAGCATTTTTATCAAATATGAATCTGCTAATCAAATTTGGACAATTTCAAATCCCTTATCAAATCTATTAAGTTCGTTTGGTGGGAAATGAAAACATCTTTGTTAAAAAACATGTTCTATTTTTACTCTACTGAATATCATAACTAAACCTGTGAAGTTCCAGATTGTGTTGGGCTTTCACCACATATTTCATCACTGCTCTGTGTCTGTGCTCTCAGCTGCAGAAGAACACAGTGGAAATAACAATTCACCTTCATCACTCAGCAAATATCAACTGATTTTTCCTCAGGCATGGTGCACTTAATGTTACGTGAAGGTGATGTTTTTGTTGCAGTGCTACAGGTCACAGAGACTGGCGGGTTACAGAATACAGTGGAACACTGTCAAGTTCTTACTTTTAACATAATGGTAGATAGATAATTAATTCCCCCTCCGTTCTCGTTCAGAAGAAGGCAAAATACATTGTGAATGTAAGATTTAATTAATGTCATGGCCGCAGAGATAAACAAATCCAGGTATTTTATCAAGCTCAAGCCAGGTTGTCTGTGGTCTGTATTAATGTTTATGTAGTCAAGACACCTTCAAAGAATAAAATGGTGATTTGATTGATAGTTAGTGCAGCAGTGTAGGAATTAATGACATTGTAACTGGAAATTATGACTAAAAATGACCAATATTGTGAGATATTTTGACATATTCAGTTCTATTGGACACAATAGAACTTGTAATGTATAATGTTGGAGAGATGGAGGTGACAGAGCAGATTTAACCTGTTGAGACAACAGATTAATCAGACTGTGCAGGAGTTTATTTGCCAACAGAAAAAGGAAGAATAGATTTTAGCCTTTTTCCAATTTGTTTTAATGCTCCTAAATACTTACTTAAAACTTTACAAAACAGTTAACTAAAAAGCTTAAAATTCCAGCAAGGCTGCAAGTGGTTTTCACACGAAAACACCATTTTCAGATTTATCCAACTACTTTAGTGTTGACATTTTTGCTCTGCAGAATTTACAAATACTAATACAGGCTCCAGTGGAAGCTGGAGAAAAGTTGTGTTAGGGTTAAAGTCCGATGAAAGTTGCATTGCTTTCCAGGGGGAGTACTTCATGGTCCAGGATGTGTACAGCAAGGCAGATGTCCTCAATACCACGGGCAGCTATGGAGCACCCAACTTCCGCCAAGTCAAGGGGTCTTACCCTCTGTATGGGATGGGTCAGCCGAGCCTGAATGGCTTCAAACAGGTTCTTCAGAGGCTCCAGGCGCAAGGACACGAGGTCACTTTCTTATTTATACACGCAGAATTTACACACATGAGCTCACATAAATTGTTCATATGTTGACTGGTAGATTTTATGCCTTTAAATCTTGCCTTTACAGTATTTACTGTAGCCCTGCCTGGCCTCTTTCTAGCCGTGTTGTCAGTAAATATTTGAGGAGTCAAGTGCTGGAGGCTGTGGCTGAATTGTAGAACTGAGCAAACAGAAAGTTGTGGTCGTGTGTACCAGTGGAAAATAAATCTCTGTGCTTACAGCAGCTAGAAACTAACCGTAATTGAAATTAAATTGACAAAATTATACGTCGGGCCTCTCTAAACTCCTTACTCATGTGCTGCATGTCATATGACAACAGATTGTTTCCAGTTGGTCTTGGAAGTGGTGTAGCTGGTAGAAGGCAACAACCACTTACTTTAAAAAGCTAATATTTGATGCCCATCTTCCAAACAGGAGGTTATATTCTTCTGTGTAAGAGAGGAGCCGGTGGTGTTTCTGCACAAGGATGACGACTTTGTGCCGTACACCCCCAGGAGGAAGGAAAACCTACATGAGAACCTTCATGGCCTGGAAAAGGAGGAGCTGGTGGAGAGCCTGGAGCTCACCATCAGGAAGGAGGTGACAATACATACATGACTCATGACTTTTTTTTTGCCACAATATAGTTCTCAGCCGTATTAAAACACTCCCTTCTCCCTTTCCTTCCTCCAAAGCTCCACGACTTTGCCAAGCTCAACGAAAACATCTTCTACGTCTACAATGACATCGAGTACTTCAAAGACGAGCCGCAGAAGATCTCCATCACGTGTGAGGAGGACATCCATGTGACTGAAGAGGTCTATAAGAGGCCTATGTTCACCAGGCCGGCCTACAGGTTGTTTACATTGTCCCTTTATTAGCCCTCCTCAGCTCACACGTCAGTTTACGTGTGGCTGCTTACTGTAGAATATGCAGGGCAGGTTATAAATAGTGGCGCTTGTTTGTGCAAAGACTGGTTGCCCTGAGTTTTTGCAATCAGATCAGCAGAGTCAGCTTTATTGAGATGTCACAAGCTGCTCACATTTCTAGGGCAAGAGAAAATATCATTCTCCAAGGAGAGTGCTGAGGCCTTGTCTATCTCTTGAAGTTTTGTTAATTGTCCAATGATTATCATCTCTCCCATCATCCCTTGTGGATTGTGGAAGGAGGTGAAGTTTGAGACCCATGAGATTAGTAAACACAACGTGAGGGAGCTCAGCTGTCGAGTCTTACTTTAGGTCAGATTTGTGTGTGCAGTGTGTTATGACCTACATAAGGGCAATATTGACACAACACAGGCGCGGGTTCAACCTCCGGTAACAATCTGTTGTATTGCAGGTACTACAGATTACCACTACCAATGGAGGGAGCGCCATTGGAAGAAGACTTTGACGCATTTGTTAACATACTCAGGGTAAGCGCATGTAAAAACGCCAATCACATGAACAGTCCACCAATTAGATAGACCTTTTTTGGTCGTGCTTTTTGCTCTTCTGATGGGATCTTGTTTTGATGTGCCATTAAAGTTATTAATGGCTGGAATATTGGAGAGCATCTGGACTTTCTCACTGAGGTAGCGAAAAGGTCATTTGAATCCCCATGTAGCCTTTTTGAATCTGTCCTATTAATCACGAATAAGTGTGATATTTATTTTTAAAAAATGGCCTAAAACCTGCAGTCTTTACTCACTTCACCTCCGCTCTTTGGTCATCTGCTCGGTCTGGTTTCCGTTCTGCCCTTCACTCACACAGGATGTTCTTTTCGTCTGGTTTTGCCCTTTTTTGGACTGACTTGCAGCAGCCGGTCCAGTTCCCTGTGGTTGGAAAGTGGCTCCTTTTTTTTTTTTAACTGTGTTTGGATCAGAGCTGTACTGTGTTCTGCCACACTCTTTCTTTCACTCTTTCCTTTTGTAATCCTTACTCATGGCATTGTCCTTGTGGAGATTTTCTTGCTGAAAAGCATGGCAATCCTTCATATTTGCATGTGCAGTTATAGCATTCAGGAAGTTCGTTTACTTCCCTTTTCTGTAGTTTAAACAGGCTTTAAAACCACAGTTTTCGCATCTCAAATAATACATTTGTGCAAAATGAGATTAGGAACCAGCAAGTATTGACTTAAACCAAATTTTGGCCAGTTTTAAAACCTCTTATGACCTGCAAATCCCCAAACCCCTACCCTCACTGGGGAACATTTTAATCTTTAGCACTGCTGTCATTACCACCTTAGTGATATAACACCATTCATCTGGTTAGGTGTTTTACAGTCTGTCATCTCTGAGAGTCTCTCTTCAATATGTGCTCCGTTTTCCAGGAGAGCACCAGCTTGTCTCTGGGCCACGATGCGTCCCGGCAGCTGCCTGCTTTGCTCTTCAGTTGCCAGGTGGGCGTTGGCCGCACCAACCTAGCCATGATCCTGGGCACACTGGTCATGAATCGCCTGAGGGGTGATTCACAACCGCAGCCTCAGTAAGAACTCTGCATCAAATGCATATGGAAAATGATATGACCTAAAACTTAATCACATGTTTGATAATACAGTGTAATGATGCAGCTTTGAAATTGGTTTCATTCAGACTTTTGTGATGCCAGGTAAGCTGGGACTTATTTGAGCTTATTTGTCTTGTTTTGCAGAGTTGAGGAAGCAGCTGCTTCAGAGCCCAAACCACTGTTCCAGGTCATCCAGTCTCTGATCAACAAGCTGCCTAATGGACAGCAGGTCATGGAGGAGGTAAAATAGATAACCTACAATTTATAAACATATATAGAAAGCTCTCATGTTTGACTTTGCAGAATTACGTATGTGCAGAGTTTGACGATAGAAGGCTGTTTTTACATTCCTCTGCTGAAGGGAAAACATATCTCTGTGCTCATCATAAAATTATTTAAGTCAAAGTCTTAAAAGGTCTAATTGCTTTTGTATTTCATTCTAATGGACCAAAGAATGTAACTCAATGACTCTCAAATCTTTTGAATTTGATAATGTTTTGTTTTTATCTGACAGGTTGACCAGGCTATCGCCCTGTGTTCCGAAATGCACAACATAAAAGAAGCAATATATGAGAACAAGAGTAAGCTGGAAGGGATTGGTGAAGATTATCAAATTCAGGTTAGTGATCCTTTGTTTTTGTTTGTTTTTTGAGCTGTGATTCAGCAGCGCTGACAGCAACCTGTAATTTCTCTTCAAAGGCAGCACTGTGTGCTGTAGAGGACATTTGATTATTGCTGCTCAATTTATTTTCAGCTAAATAAAGCAAGAGTGGCACAGAACTCAAATGATCATGGAGCATTAAAAAGCCCTTGAACTGATGGAGGACTTAAGTAACGGAAACAATAGAGTGTTTAATTTTTGATGATTTTCTTCTGTCCTGAATCCTCCTGAAATCAGTAGGGTCTTAAATGCACATACAGGATCGTCTACAGGAACAGACATTGAAACTTCTGTTTGTTTCACAGGGAAGCAGTACCAAAGACTACTTTCTCAACAGAACCATGCAGAGCTTGGAGCGCTACTTCTACTTGATTGTATTTAACGCGTACCTTCACGAACAGGTAATGTTTTTTGTACTCCTGTATAAATGTTTTGATTGATAAGAGTAAAATTTAAATAAAACAAATCTTGAGTTCTAATTGTTTATTGCATTTTGCAGTATCCTCTTGCCTTTGTGTCCAACTTCAGCCAGTGGATGTGCTGCCACACGTGGCTGTACAGGTTACTGGCCTGCATGGACCTATCAGAGCTGTCAGCCCCGGCTGAGCTGGTCACCAAAGGAGCTCGGGTCCTGGTGAGAAAATTGAGCACTTACACGGAAAATGTATACTGTTATCAGAATTCTGATTGTATCTGTGTCTGCAGTGTGAAACCAAAACCATATCATGCAGGCCACAGATGAATCCGCAGTGCTTGTGCCCACAAACACTACTTTTTTTATACTGATAAACCTTGCCTCATGGTCTTTTCCACAAGATCACAAATCTCTCGTCTTCCCACACAGCCATCTAGCCATCTGTATCCTCAAATGTGCTCTATATGTTCCAAGTAATGTGTAACTACGTGTGTCTGCACAGGTTGCTGAGGAGTGCTTTGCTCCGGATGTGCTCAGCACGGTGAAAGAGATGAAGGCGGTCAACTTTAGACGAGTGCCCAAGATGCCTGTTTATGGAGTGGCTCAGCCGACATCAGAGGTGCAGCAGATTCCCTAATTTTTACTCAGGGACAATACTTAATCAATTAGTCTTAAACATTATCTTGAAGGATTGAAAAGTAGAATATTTTATAGCTACCACTTCTATCTAGAAATGATTATTTAACACTCTTTATTCTTATTCTCTTTCTTTTATAGTTGACTTACAAATTAGGAAAAGGAGCAAGGGATCTTAAAATAATATTCTAGAAATCTTTTAGTTTTATTTGTAAATAAATAATTTGCACATTCCCACTTTATCTCCACATCATCAATATGCATCCTTGCCATCATAAATATTCACAAGAGTACAAATAGACTAGAGAGGAATGACTCATGATGATTTGGTGTACACTCACACACCCACCTCAGGACGCTTGAGCCGGAGTTCTGGCTTTGTGCCTGCTAATCATAAACTTGCTGTGTGCAGGCTACTGGGGCAGTTTTGGCCCATCTGACGGATGAGAAGAGGAAACATAGCCACGTGTTGTGGGTCAATTTGCAGGAGGAGCTGGTGCTGGAAGGGAATGGTCAGATTTTTACACCAAGGGAGCCGTCGTGCCCGGACCAGAACATTTCTATCCCATCGTCTGACCCAGAGCTGATAGAGGTAGAGTGAAAATAATGCTTTTTAGATGCTTTTCAGGGCAGTTACAGTCTGATAAATGATGAGCGCCGGAGACAGTCTTCACACAGTGGAAGTAAAATTGCTCTCATATCCCCTCCTGGCCTGTAGAAACTGGAGACCTCTCTGAAGGAGGAGATTCTGAGAGCTCAGAAGTGGCTTGAGGTGACACTTGAGCAGGAGAAACAGATGAAGATGTTCAAAAGCTGCCTGACAGTCCAGGAGATCTTCAACCAGCACAAAAGCACCCACCAGGGCCTCGTCTACAGACGCATCCCTCTGCTGGACTGCAGCGCGCCCAGGGAGGAGGTAAACCATTCAATACTCACAAACATGCAGGAGGTGCAGAAATAGTTTAGAGGTTCCTTTGGTAGCTGATTGTAATGAAGATAGGTGACAATGAATAAACCTTGTGCTCCCTCTAGTGGTTAAAAATGTTACTGTTGTACTGGGATTTTCACCATAACCACAACTACTCTCTACTTTGATCATTTTCCTGATTGATATTCATTTATTTTGCAGATGTTTGTTTGTCTAAATGAGAAGTAAAAAGTTAAACTTTTAGATTAAATTACTTTCCATTACTTTTTTAAATAATGTTGTGTTATGTCTGCGTTACTCCACAACATTGACTGAGATGACATAATATTCACTGCATTTAACGAGCCAACCACACTCAAACAAGCTCTATCGTTGCCCGCTCACCAAACTATGGCTTTATAGTTCAGCTTATTTGATGTGTTTATCACTAATGCAGTGGTTATACCTCATTAGGATGAGTCTCTCATATTGTTTGTCAGACAACCTGTCCCTCCTTGGAGTCAGCACAAGACTGCCCAGGCTAAAGAGCCTCTCCACCGGCGCACTAGACACTATCATTGTGTTGAATTGCATGAATATTGTAGAGAAATAGTTCAGGGTCTCCATCTCTGAGCCTGATTTCAAATATTCAGAGACTTTGTTGAAGGAAGCTTTCCTCATCGAAAACATTGACAGTGATTGTTGTGCAAATGTGCATGTTTGATTTTTGACTGCTGATTTTGATTACTGATTTAGGAACAGTCATTTGTTACACTACAACAACACTACTTATGACACGCTTTAATTTAGCTCAAATAAATAGATACTTTTGTAGTTTGAGTGTTTGTTTTTGTACATCAACTCTGTGTGTGTGTTCTTGTTCTCAGGAGTTTGATAAGCTGTTGGAGGCCATGAAGAGTGCCTTGGCTGAGGACTCTCACTCAGCCTTCGTTTTCAACTGCTCTAATGGCAAAGGCAGGACCACGACTGGCATGGTTGTTGCCATTCTGACTCTCTGGCACTTTAATGTAAGACGCTTCCTTGAGTTTCCTGCACGTTCATTAAGGCCCTCAGTATTATACATGAAAATGATCACATGTGGCTGATGTTTTCATCATCCAAAATGACATAAAACCGGTGTCTTCCACCTGCAGGGTTTTCCAGAGTTTGCTGATGATGAAATTGTGAGTGTTCCTGATGCTAAGTACACAAAAGGAGAATTTGAGGTATGTACATTTAAAAACAAATGCCTTCTCCAGCTTGAAAGGATGTTAACAATTTACTGTGTCTATTTTCACATTTAATCATAAACATCAGACTGAAGTGTCACCGTGTTTTGCAACCATTTTCACATCAGCGCTAATGCTGAAGCATGATCTGTGGTTGCTTCTCTTCAGCAAGTATGTAAGAAAATGAACACTGTGGGGGTGGTGATTGAAGTGGACTCTAATCTTTATCACGATTAGTGCTAGTTTTTATTTTATCTGTGAAAAAAATCACATGATGAGTACACATGACAAGTCTACATCATGTCACTCAAGTCAAACGGGGAAAAAAAAGAATGCTAATGAGCTAACAATGTATTGAGATCATCAAAGAACCCTCTGACAGGAAACCGATTATGTCAACACATTTTGTTAAATCAACTTACATTAACTACATTGATTAACGTTACCTAAACAGCAAAAGTGTTTTAGTGTGAGTATAGGGAAGGTAAACTGATTATGGTCAAACAAATAAATATAAGCTATTATCTATGTATTGAAACTGTAGAGTTTCTCACAGTACATTCTCTGTATGTCAGCCTTGTATTTTTATTAAGGTGTTGAGTTATTATGGCTGTTGCTGCGTTGTATTCACAGTACTTGGCAATCAAAAAAACACAGCCAGTACTGTAACCCTTCAATTCTTTTTTTTTTATTTTGAATTTCTGTAGTTGGCACTTTCTTTTTCTTTCTTTGTTTGTCTATAACGTGCATGCTGCTGCTGCTGGTACGTGTGCAGGGTTTTCCTAAACATGTTTGTATTTGCTTGTCGTCATAGCTCTGGCAATTATTAGCAGGGCAGCTATTGTAAAGTTCATCACTTTAATGAGTCACATCAGCAGTTCCTCCAAACAAACAATGCATGCCATACAAGTGTATATTAAAGGGGTACTGTACTGTTTCGCTTTTTAAACTCTAACTCTGCACCTGTGATTAAAAGCTTTGGTCAAACAAAGCCAGAAGTCAAAGCCTTTCTCCTCTGGTCTGAATAGTGGCTGTGAATTGGAGGC